ACTAAGATCATGGCATCTGGTCCCATCACCTCACGGGAAACAGATGGGGAGACAATGGAAACAGTGTCAGACTTTATTTTTTTGGGCTCCAAAATCACTGCAGATGGTGATTGCAGCCATGAAATTAAAAGATGCTTACTCCTTGGAAGGAAAGTTATGACTAACCTAGATAGCATATTAAAAAGCAGAGACATTACTTTGCCAACAAAGGTCCATCTAGTCAAGGCTATGGTTTTTCCAGTGGTCATGTATGGATGTGAGAGTTGGACTGTGAAGAAAGCTGAGCGCCGAAGAATTGATGCTTTTGAACTGTGGTGTTGGAGAAGACTCTTGAGAGTCCCTTGGACTGCAAGGAGATCCAACCAGTCCATCCTAAAGGAGATCAGTCCTGGGTGTTCATTGGAAGGACTGATGCTGAAGCTGAAACTCCAATACTTTGGCCACCTGATGCGAAGAGCTGACTCATTTGAAAAGACCCTGATGCTGGAAGGGATTGGGGGCAGGACGAGAAGGGGGTGACAGAGGATGACATGGTTGGATGGCATCACCGACTCGATGGGCATGAGTTTGAGTAAACTGTGGGAGTTTGTGATGGACAGGGAGGCCTGGCATGCTGCGGTTCACGGGGTCGCAAAGAGTCGGACACGACTGAGTGACTGAATAGCAATACTTTGTTTAAGGTAGAGGAGATAAAGGGTTAACAAGGTTGAGGAAGACAATCAGATGGAGTGAAAATACAGTCTTCTGTTAGGTAATAAGGAAAGTCATGAATGGTCAACACTTCATCTAGCTAATATAGAAGGAATATTTTGTAATTTCTGTTCTCTAAAAATGCATATTCTTTGTCTATAATATATCAACTGTAAAAAGAGAGTTAATCAAAGATCTTGAATCAGCACAATATGTTTCAAACTGAGGTCATAAAATCCAAAGGTATCCTTTAATCTTTTAAAGAATTTATGTTGGTGCATAGCTGACTTACAGTGTTGTGTTAGTTTCAGGAGTAGAGCAAAGTGATTTAGCTATACGTATACATATATCTATCTTCCCTGGCGGCTCGGAGGTTAAAGCATCTGCCTCCAGTGTGGGAGACCTGGGTTTGATCCCTGGGTCGGGAAGACCCCCTGGAGAAGGAAATGGCAACCCACTCCAGTATTCTTGCCTGGAGAATCCCACGGACGGAGGAGCCTGGTAGGCTACAGTCCACAGGGTCGCAAAGAGTCGGACACGACTGAGCAACTTCACTATACATTTTTCCATTCTTTTTCAGATTCATTTCCCATATAGGTTATTAGAGTGTTGAAGAGTTCTCCATGATGCCCTTCAGGAAACTAGAGTAAGGGTAAGTTTTATTTCTATTTGCCTCAGTCATGTAAGTTTGAATGCACGCATATGTACATGCATACCATGCCATGATGTAAAATGCATTTCTTCTTGTGCATTAAACTTTAAAGTTTAAAAAACTTTTCATAAACTTAGAATAGAGAAATCGAATGAATCACTGCTGATGAAAAATTAGCCAAAGTCAATGCAGTGATGATTTTTTTTTCAAACTTTAAACTTTATATTTTGTATTAGGGTATAGCCAATTATAGCCAATTAACAGTACTACGGCAGTTTTAGGTGAACAGAGGAGGGACTGAGCCATGGGTACACATGTGTCCATCCTCCCCAGCCCTGTTCCATCCAGACCGCAGCACAACATTCAGTGCAGTTCTTTGTGCTCTACAAAGGTCCTTGTTGGTTATCCATTTTGAAGACAGCAGTGTACACAAGAGTCATGTTTTTTCTAACAAAGGCTCAGCAGAAAGAGGTTCCACGCAATGCTATGCCAGTTTCAACATCCACATTTCTTTTACTCTTTCTTTTATAGCTTATTACTTGCCTAAGTAAACTGCCTACTAATGATACTTATTTTTACACTTTATAATATGGTGTCCTTTTAAAATTGTACTCTAGAGTATAGAGATCATCATATTTTACACAGAAAAAAACCTCAAACATGATCCCTGTTTTTCATTTCCAGTCTTAACATTGGCTGACTTCCAGCCTCTTGTGACCTCAATATCTTCGTATGCTTCTTTTTTATATAAAAAATGCAAAGGTCAGGAGAAAAGATGGCTGAAATTTCTTTGGTTTTAAAATTTGACTGTTTTGATTTAGTGGAAAGGCAGACATTTTTCTGCATCAATCTTTCCCAGGTACTTGGACCACAAGGCTAAGATCAAAATATGAATCACTTTGCTGTACACCTCAAACTAACAAAATATGGCAAGTCAACGATACTTCAATAAATTTCCTTTTTAAATTATTGTTCTCCTTGCAACCACGAATCCCAGTTGCAATGGGATTGAAATACTTTGCTGGGCATGAAAAGTTCTCTGGATGTTGGCCTATAAACCCCAACCTTACACCCCAAAGCATACACCCCCAGCTGGTAATCAACCAAAATCAGCTTCCCGGGCTTCCCTGGAGGTCCAGTGGTGAAGAACCTGCCTCTCGGTGCAGGAGACAGGGGTTTGGTCCCTGATCCAGGAAGATCCCACATTCCACGGAGCCACAGAGAATGTGACCCACATTGCGGAGTCTGCGCTCTAGAGCCATGAGCCCCAACGACCAAATTCCATGCGCCCCAAGCCCGCGCTCCACAACAAGAGAGCTTCGAGGAGAAGCCCACGCACCCCAACCAGAGAGAGGGCCACGTGGGGGCAAAGATCTAGCACAGCCAGAAACAGACAGACAAGTAAGTGAAAGGACGAGTCCGCCTTCCCTCGTGCTCAAAGAGCATCTCCCACCGTCTGACTGCTCCCCCGCACGCCGTGCTTGTGAAACCCAGGACTCTGCATGTTTACCACACTCTTTAGGAATGTATGTGTCAGAAAATCACATTGCAGAAACTCACATTTCAAGGTTGTCTGGCCCGCTATCCGAGGACCCCTGGCCGAGATTCCTCTGTTCCAAGCACTCAGGTGTTCTTGCAGAGTAGGAAAGACTGAGTCTGGCAAGAACAAGGACGGGACTTCCAAAAAGAACAAAGACAACCTGTGCCTTGCCGAGTGACTCAGTCCTGGCCCTGTGCGCCCTGAGTCACAGCCGATCCATCACCCGCACCCTTGGAGGGCATCCTGCTGACAGAGATGGCCACCTTCCTGGCTGCCAGATCGCTGGTATTCCATGAGGAAATTATGTCCTTCTCTGCATCTGCTGATTTAGTGCCCTGGCACAGGAAACCCTTTCAGAAAGGAAAAGCAGTACTGGGTTGCCATCACAGCAGTGATGATCTAGCGAGGACCTGTTATGCAGAGCAGTTCAGACCTGACCCCTGCTTTCTGCAATCACGCTGTTCACTAACATGTGATGACAGCTGAAACGGGCGTGAGAGGCCGAGCATCAGGCACTCAGGGGGCGGCGACATGTGTGGGTCTAGAACCATCAACAGAAACTTCATGCATGTGACAGGGGTTAAGCTGAGTCTCGAACTAAGAGTAAGGAACACGTAAGACAGGGAAAAGGAAGGACATTTCCAAAAGTGGGAAGAACAAAGTGTCCATAAGTGCAGAGGCAGAAATGCACCTGGCCTGTTGGCATGAATCAAGAATCAACATGAAATATTATCTCTGTAATCTGCATTTTGCATCCCATATTTGATCAAAGGAGTATATCCAACCCATCTCATTAAAGCAATATGACTCATAGAGCAGGTTTCATTAGCTAGCTTTTCTCCGATCTGCATCATATACAACAGTTCTAGAAAGTGTGAAACTCCTCCTATCACCTCTTTGTGGTTAATCGGGAACCCCATTCTCCCACATCTCTTTCATCTGCTTCTGGAGTGACAGATCTTGGTCAATTACAGAACTGGGTGAAATTGGATCACAAGAGTCCATTACTACATTGCACAACACTGCTGAGACCTGGAAAGGGTAGAAGGCTAAGGAGGATCTCCATTAGAAAGAAACTTTAGTAGAAAAGATTAAACATTGACCCACAGAACTATTAAATAAAATGCCGACTCATGTTATAGGAAGATGAACCACAAACAGATTAAACATCTATTTCATTTGAAGTTTAGAATCAGCATGGTCTCTGTAGGCACATCTGAATCATTGAGTTGATATGACTCATGACTTACCTCGGGGCTGCTGTTGACTGTTGCCCAGTATGGGCACTGCACAAAAAAAGCACCAGACCTGGAAAGCGAGCTCTCTACTTGCCACAACACATGAGGACAGAGAATGCTGCCGGCCACATCAACAAACAACGCTGTGCCCATCAGGCCAGCAGACACCACAGCCGCCCCAACAGTGCACGCGGGGGCGATGCAGGGTGGGAAAGAGCAGAATACTAGCCTTAGAGAGTCAAGGTTCACATCAAAGGAATGGTTTCAATGAGCCCAGTCTCTTGCATCTTCACATTCAGAGAAAAGTGCTAAATTCATTCGTTTGAGATGTCTGTTTTTCTTTAATTAACAGTCATCTTTTGATGTTCCCACTACCCAGCTTACATTGCCAAAACAAACCTGGCATGTATAGCTGGCTCCTCCCTCACCTGTTTGGAGCCGTCCCTAGAGGAACCTGCGGTGCTGCGCCCGGGGCTTAAGTCCTCAGCAGATCTGCCAGATAAACACAGCTCTCATTTCAGTTGTGCTTCTATTGTTGTTTCAGTTGACACACATGTGTGATGCTACATCTGTCCAGATGTAGCATTTTCTAATTCTACCTGGCTGGGGCATATTTTTTTAATTCATCCATCTTTCTCTCATTAACTCAAAAGCTTCTTAGAGGTGAATTGGGAGTTCTGATCCTCCTTCTGCATGCAAGCTTTATTAATAAACACGTTGTAGCTTACTCACTTGCTCAATTTTGGGGATAAACAAACAAGAAGCTGGAGAATAGGTGGGGCAGAATTAATTTAGGTCTGTTCTTTGGAACGCTGCCCCTGCACGCGCGCCCCTGTTGCCCCCACGTCCGCGCACCCAGCGAGAGGCACGGCCCGCTTACCTCGCTCTCCCGGCGAGCCCGGCACACCGGCATTTCCGGGGAAGCCCGGGGCCCCGGGGGGGCCTTGCTCACCAGGGGTTCCTGGGGAGCCCGGCCTCCCAGGCTCTCCAGGAGGCCCCTGGATGGTCCGCACAGACGACGAGTGGCTGGGAATCTGGTTGAGGATGGCTGTGTACCTGGCCATGTGACCTGAGGCGGGAAGGACAAAGACAGCCTCCGATGAGCGGTCATAAGTGGACTGGGAGAACTGGATGCACTATCTGTCAAGGCTCCAAACAAGTCTGTTAGACACCCACCAGGGCAAGAGGCACATCCCTCTGAAATAAGTTGATTTCCAAATGGAAAGATTCTGCATTTCCCTTTGGATGATATTAACAGCTGGACTGTATTCAAATCCCATCTCATGCGTTTGGAACTCCACAGCTCACGTCAGCATCTCAGTAAGTATCACGGAGCAGAGGTCATAAATTTTATCTTTACCCCCAACACTTATCTGACCCCTAAATCCTCACCCAGCTGCCCCTTTTCTCCAGCAATTTCCACCCAAATGACTTGTCTTTCCTTCCAACCCACAAAGCCTGCCCCACCCACTTGCTCACAAATCCCCAGACAAGCGCTCTGTTTCAACTCATCTCTTTATTGCCAAGCCTTTTTGCAGAAACCTTTACTTGAGTCCCAGCTGCAGAAACTCTCACTTTTTTTTTTTTAATTTGACTTGCTCTCATTATCCCTTAACTCAGTTGAGCCTGTAAGAATGGAGTTAATAATTACAAGTAAAAACTGAGAAAATATTTGATATCATAATTCCTCATTTTCCCAGCATCACTGGTAGACAGCACTTCCCTACAGAAGTGAATTTTCCAAATAACTATTATATATTCCTTTTTAAGTATCCAGCCTAAATAAGGAATGGCAACCATTTCTAGAGGGACGATTTCTAAGACACGGTCAACGCCTTCTTAGGCCTAGGAGCAGGACTGTCATCAGGACTGGCTGGCTGATCACCTGGCACACCAGGAGGCACGTTCGTGAAAGTCCGGGGAGGAGCGGACGTTTCCGCCTCTGCTTCTTCAGCTTCCTGCTCTGATAAAGGGGCCGCCCTCCATCACTTCTCCAGCGGCCATCACTGGAGCCTCACACAGTCCAGCCTTTCCTAGCATAACCCTTCTGATGAGCTCTGGACCACAAAGCAGATAACCGAGCAAGTGAGGAACCCTAAGCCACGTGGTGATCACGCTCCGAGGCGGAGCTGAAGGGAGGACAGGTGAAGCTCGGATGACAGGGACGGGGCTCTGCGGAGGCTGAGCTGTGCGCACGGGCCGCATCCAGCCTCTGCCGTGTTCTTCTCCGAAGAGGACACTGGCAGGCAGGCCCTCCCCGTTTTACAGGCCTGTTTCAGCTCTGGTTTAACCCCACTGGTTTCGGTTTCCGAGAAACTATTCACAGGAATCTGACAATTCCTGAGGGGAAAAACTGGATTCTGAAATCTCAACTTTTAGGTCACGTTTCAAACAACCACATATCCGTATAATGCTTTTATTCCAAAGTGGAATAAGACAGTAACTATTGTGATATAGTCCTTATGTTATGGTCATTGAGTCATATTAGGATTTAACCCTTAGGTTTCCTTAAAATAATTCTTTACCCATTTACATTGTATACTTGAAATGAGAAACCTACAAAATAATCCAAGATACAGGTTAGCTTCAAACATTTTCTACTTAATGTTCAGTTTCCCTTCTCTAATTGTGTTTTCAGAGATTCTTATTTTAGTATTAAACTTAAATAGCTTCACTTGTAAATTCTCTATCTCGTACACGCTAGTGTACTATATAACACAAAACAGAATAAAGTTAAATCAGAGGGAGCATTTAAAATAGAGGGAAAGTTCAAGTTTAAAATGAAGAAATGGGACAGGTGTGATGTAAAGTGTGTTCCAGTGCAATTTTTGGCATGGACCCAAAGATCATGTCAAATGTCACATGAAGCTTGTACCCATGTGTGCACGTGTGTTTATGTGTTTGTATTTTATGGCGTAAGTCTTAAAGAGAAGGGCCTTGAGCTAATCAAAGAAATGAGTAAGAAAGAGATATTGATTTAAATCCAGAGATTGGAAGGTAAGTTCTGATGCCTTAATTTGGCAGCTTTCAAGTGCTTAGCACTTGAGAAAAAAGATTTCTTTATTTGTAGAGATGAAAAACAAATAGAAGATTTGATCTGGGCAGTCAAGTTAAACCTATGCAGGCGAACAGAGAGCTTCCAGACAAACAACAGAGAGGAATCTGGCCTCTGCACCATCGGTGGAGAACGCCAGGGTAATCTGTAATGGGATTAGATGTAAAGAGGCAGTGACTTCAGGTGGGTCAGTGATGGCCAGTTGTAAAGTGCATGTGTCTGCACCAAGACAACGCTGCGTCTATACTTGTGCAAAAGGTGAATTTCTGTTTGGCTGAGTAACAGCGAACATCGGTGAGCACGGCTCACTTACTCTGGATGAGCTGCTCGCACACCTGACGTGCCACCGCTCTCACCATGGCTTGAGACTGAAGGTCGCCCTGGAGGAAACAAAAAGCAGACTCCTGAACACCGGCCACAGCCCAGCCCGCGGCAGGACCCCCAGGACAGAGCTGGGGCTTGACCCACTGTTGCCACTGGGCCCTTCGCTGCTGAGCAACAGGAGGGATGGCCCACCGTCACACAGAGACGGTGTGAGCACCGACATGCGCGTGCAAGGCTCCTGAAAGCCCGCGTTAGACTGAGACGCTCAAGTATGCACTTCCGGCCCCAGATTCTAAAAAACTCAACAGTGTTTGAAACAAACACATTAACTATATATTATTTAATGCCTTCTTTATCACTCTTTAGAGCTTATAAAATACAGCACTTTCTCAAGCAGTGGCTTATTGAATACTAATAGCAACTCAGATGTTAAATCCGTTTATAGAGTTTAAAACTTACTGCCCAAGTTTTCGCCGAGGTCATTGGGTGAGCCCAAGGTCACCACTGCGTCTATCAGAAGTGACTGCACGATTATCTGAGCAGCAGCACAGTTTCTCAAAGGAGAGAGAAGGCCCTGAAATAGCCGGCTTTAAGCCTCGCGGGCAGTGCTCTAATCCCGCGCTGTCACTGTTGTCCTGGGTGCCGAGAGCGGGAACACACAAGCCTCCATCTACTGCCTGGCGTTCTGCATAGAGCGTTTACCTCTCTGAAACCTTTTCACATCCGTTATATAATTTCTTCATTAAATCCACTCTGTGAGTTACATGAGTGATCCTCTCCATTTCATCCCTAAACAAATGGCTTCAAGTCATCTAGCTGGACTAGCAGAGCTGCAATGAGAAGCCAGCAGGCCTGACCTCCAGCCCATAGGATGGATCTGCTTGAAAAGGTGCTCACAGTTGGGCGAGCTGGGGGTGGGGGGTGGGTAGCGAAGCAATGAGTGACCCGGACAGAGAACGGCCCTCCCTCACCAGGCTCCCGGACAAAGGCAGGCAGCCAGCCCATCAGCGGCCCAGAGATACTCACCCTCTCTCCCCTCTCCCCCTTTGCTCCAGGGACACCCTGCAAGATTGTAAATTGTCGAGTTAGGATGCTGCACTCAGCCAAGCACAATGACAGTGTATCTTTTCTGACTGTGTGAAGAGGTTTTCCTCAGCTCTCATCATTCTGCAGCAAAAGTAGACACACGGCCACAGGAACAAACAAACAGCAGCCTGCCATCCGGCCAAGCAGCAACGGCTCTGGGCTGTGGTGGTTTCCTCACTGGCTATCCATTGATTTCAGTTCATTTATTTGTAACTGGAGGATAACTGCTTTACAATATCGTGCTGGTCTCTGCCATAGATCAAGGTGAGGCAGCCACAGGTAGACCTGCGTCCCCTCCCCTCTGAGCCTCCCTCCCCATCCCTCCCCATCCCTCCCCATCCCACCCCTCCAGGATTCGCGAAGCCGGGTTTGAGTTCCCTGGGTCACACAGCAACTTCCCGCTGCGATCTGTTTAACACACGCTACTGTAAGCGTCCGTGTTACTCTTTCCATTTGCCCCGCTCTCTCCTTCCTTCCCGCCCCCTCGTGTCTGAAGTCTCTTATCTGCGTCCACGTCTCCACTGCGGTCCTACAAACACTTTAAACATCTTCCTCGCCCAGTCTCTGAATGCAAAGTCACAGTACATTTGAATACAAAAATTGGTATCCTGCAGCAATACTGCTTTGTAATACAGTGTTACTGAATAAATTATTATCACAATTGCTGGGCAATTGATTTCACAAATTTCTGCTAAAAAGAGACATTGTTTTCATTTCTGAAAGCATATCTCTCACAGAAAGGAAAAAGATCTTCCAACCTAAGAGCGCAAGGAAAAGGTGGAATCTGTGAAATCCCAGCTCTTTACCCTGCTTTCCATGTGGGATTAACAGCACACGAGGCCTTCTCCCCGATTCTCCCTGGTAATGTGAGCCTGTATTAACACGAATTCTCAGCTCAACTATTGTTTTGTTTTGTGGCTTAGCTACTCTTTGACCCATAGGAAACCTTACCATATCTGTAAAAATTTTTGCTGAAAAACAATGGTGTTTAGTGTTTCTGCAACGAAATTACATGTATAATGCAAAACACGTGTCTTCAGAAGAATTTCTTCTTGTATCAACTCCAAGGCAGAGTAATAGATTTACTGAACAACACGTTTTTATAACCTCTACCAGAGGATAGTAAGTACCATTTACAGATGGAACCTGTCACACTGTCAGGCTATTTCCAGTTGTTACTATAATCTCAACAGGTCCCAAATCAAACTCAGTCTCTTTTCCAAAAATTTCTACTCAGTCATCCAAAATCAAAATTCTGGGTTCACTCCATTGTGTACAGGTAAACTGGCTTTCTGGGAAAATGACGTGCCCTGATCTGTACTGTTTATGGCTGGCAGAAGTGTAAACGCTTTCACTAGGGCTGATTCCAAGTGACAAACACACTGTGACTGAGGATGGACTTCCAGAGGGAAGAGAAGTGTAAAATCTACCCCCTGAGCAGGTGCAGGCCAGGCCCCGCCCACCCCTGCTGTCCCCTCTCCTTCCTTCCCTTGCTTCTCACACGTCTGTCTCACGCACACTGGCACTTTTTCTGTTGTTTTGTTCCTGGCCGTGCCCCGTGGCATGTGAGAGCTTACCTCCCTGACCAGGAGCTGAATCTGAGCCCCTGCAGTGGGAGCGCAGGTCTCCATCACTGGACCGGCAAGGAGTGCCCCCCACACAGTCTGGCATCACAGCTCCTCCGATACCCACCACCCAGCTGCTACCGCAACCATCTCACGCCAGGCATTCGCACCTCCCTTCCAGCCGGCCTCCCGAACGAAAGACCCTCCTCTTCCAGTTCACCCTCTGCACAACCTCGCGGCCCGTCCTCCTGACACGGCCAGGATGCAGTTCAGAAAGCTGAGCGACTTCTGGCCGACGGCGGCTCTTCCTCTGTTCAGAATCACCCGGTGACTCTCAGACACCCATGTGACCAAGTCAGAGTCCTCGCTGCCAAAGACTTGCCACTGATGTGTGGCCCCAACTTCCACTGACATCTGCTCATCAAAAGTACCACTTCTCGTTCCCACAGACCTGGTCTAGTCAGTGTATCAGAACACTTGTGACAAAGGTATTAAGTGTATATCTTATATATTAATATTCTAATGCAATACTCAATTCAAGTACCACCTATTTCATACTAGATCTTTATTATTGTATATATTTATCCATGTGTGTGCACAGTTGTTCAGTTGTGTCCGACTCTTTGACCCTAGGGACCGCAGCCCACCAGGCTTCTCTGTCCATGGGATTCTCCAGGCAAGAATACTGGAGTGGGTTGCCATTTTCTCCTCCAGGGACTCTTCCAGACCTAGTGAAGTCTCCTGTTTGGCAGGTGGGTTCTTTACCATTAGCACTAACCGGGAAGCCTTAACACAAAGATTTCTCTTCTATGTAGATGGTAAGATCTCTAGTATCAGGGGCCATAACTTACATTACTTTATATTTCAAACCACCTAGCCCCCTTTTTTTTTCCATAAAAAAGTCACGTGAATATTCAGCTGAGTCCAATGTTAAATGAAAATATTTATCATAAATCTAGGACTGCTGCCTACTTCCTTTTCAAGCATTCGATGCAATGCAAAACCAAAAATCAGCAAACAAAAATTAGTACCTGTTCATCATCTTTAATATACTAACAAACTGTAAATACAGGTGGTTTAAAACTCAAGCTGCTTTTATCATGTGTCAAGCACACCACATGCCAAGTACACACCTTGGCACATTAACTCATTTAAGCCATCTAACACCCCTATAAGGTGAACTCATTTAATCCTTGTAAGACTCCTATAAGACGAGCTCATTTATTCTTTATAACAACCCTATGAGATGTTACTTCCATTTTGCTGTTGTTCAGTCATTCAGTCCTGTCTGTCTCTTTGTGACCCCATGGACGGCAGCACAGCAAGCCTCCCTGTCCATCAGCAACTCCCGGAGTCCACCCAAACCCACATCCATCGAGTCGGTGATGCCATCCAACCATTTCATCCTCTGTCATCCCCTTCTCCTCCTGCCTTCAATCTTTCCCAACATCAGAGTCTTTCTAATGAGTCAACTCTTCACATCAGGTGGCCAAAGTGTTGGGAGTTTCAGCTTCAGCATCAGTCCTTCCAATGAACACCCAGGGCTGATCTCCTTTATGATGGACTGGTTGGATCTCCTTGCAGTCCAAGGGACTCTCAAGAGTCTTCTCCAACACCACAGTTCAAAACCATCAATTCTTTGGCATTCAGCCTTCTTTATAATCCACCTCTCACATCCATACATGACTACTGGAAAAACCATAGCTTTGACTATATGGACCTTTGTTGGCAAAGTAATGTCTCTGCTTTTTACACATAAGGAGAGTGATGTATTGAGAGGATAAAAAAATTGCCCAAGGTCACACAATAAGAAAGTGGAAAATCTGGGGCCAGAATCCACTCAGCTGGGCTCCAGAACACTTGCTCTCCACAGTACATTCTGGCTGCCATGAAAGGGAACACTACTCAACACATTTGCCAGCCTGAATCTTCTATTTCAGTGAAGGTAATATTTTTCTTAATGCAATAATTTAAAAAGCAAACAAACATCTCCCAAATCTCACTCCAGTCATTCAGAATTAGTCTTTGAGTCATTTCTTAAAATCTACTTCATCTTGAATATTTTTTGTTTCTGAACCAATGTATTCTTAATATTTCCATTGCTAGTTAGCATGTGTTAAATTTTCCTATTTGAAACTTGGACAAAGAAACTACAGTGCAAACCTGAGTGATAAGGTAAACGGACAGCATGAGGTGCTGGCACCTTCTGGTACACAGAGACTGATGTGTTTAATTAGGCCTGAAATTCCTCAAACTCAGCCTCCCAATGCTTGTGACTAAGTAGCTGCAAGACACAGCAAGGTGGTCTCCAGGAAAGACACATTTAGTGAATATATCTGTATGACAAGAAATTATTTTTTATTCTAACTTCTTTGACGTCTTTCCTTTGATTTTTCTTTTTGCAAAATAAAACAAAAACAAACTCCAAATTCCTGAGTGAATGAAGGTCCATAACTCCACCAGAACATGCTTTGATGGAAAACACACAGACCCTGTAGATGTAGGCATGAAAAAGTGGCATATTTTCCTTTGATTTCAGGAATACTTGAAACGCAAAGAAAATACAGTAGCTACATTCACAGATTTACAGAATTTTAGTACTGAAGGAAAGAATAATGATCTCATGGTCCAAGTCCCAAATACTAGGTGTCTGGTAACTAAAATCAAACACACCTAGCTCAGCTCTAAGAGTCCTCCATGCCTGACCCTTAATCTGTAAAAATAAGCTCATACTCACCTAAGTCCCAGCCTAACTAGAATGTAACCACACTTGCGCTCTTTGTTGTAACAAACGCTTATTAAACACAAGTCCCCTACACATGAACCTTCAAGCTGTGAACCTGCGAAGACGTGAGCGCGCGCTCCATCAGAGCCAGGTGCGGGCGGGGCACCCAGCCCCCAGCCCCGTGGGGAGCCCCTGCAGCGGGCCGCCCCCCACCCCCACCCCCGGTCAGCAGCCCCTTCCTGCTCACGTGACGCCCGCCCCGCGTGCCAGCTGTCGTCCCGGACGACTGCACTTTGCCGGGAACTGCACTGCAAGATTCAACATGTGTTTTTTATGTGCTGTTTGTGTGAGAAGTACTATAAAGCCATCACGTGCAGTAATCCTGCGGTGCCAGCTGGGTACCTAGGCCGACTCTGCTGGATTTAGGAGCAAACTGGATTTACAGATGCGCTCTCGGAATGGAACTCGTTTGGAATGCACTTACTCTACCCTCTGAGATGCTGAACTGGGATCTAGGAATAAGGAAGAACATGAGCATGATTAAAAAAAAAAATCCTGCCCTCAAAAAACCCTGCTTTTTGTGGAGAGATGGACGCTGACAGTTGAAATGGAGTCTCCCACCTGAGGAGGTAAGGCTGCGAGGGGGACGCCACACCGGAAGTGCGCAGTTTTAGAGAGAAACAGAG